AATATTAAAAGTTTAAAATTATCTTAAAAACTTATTTTCTCTAAACCGTTTTTCATCATTTTGAAGCCTATAAATATATAATTATACAAAACATGTACACATAAAAAAAAATAGAAAAACAAAACTAGCAACCATTGAAAACTTTATAAAATAAATAAAAAAAAAAAAGAAAAAAGTTTTGAATGAGTGATAAATTTAGTAACCATATGATAAAAATGATAATGACCCTTAATACCAATACCATATCATAAGTATAAATGATATTATCATATTATCATTTAGATTTATCATATAATAATTTATTATACCATTTTCACAAATAATAAGACAATACATTAATAATTATGACATTTATGATATAGTGACCGGCCCTACGTAAAAACACAAAGAGGAAACTTGACTTTAGGAAATATTTTTTAACACGCAAATTGAAAGATAATTGGTTATATTGAAATATAATTTTGGTGAATTATTATAATTATTTAATAAATTTAAATTAATTTATAAATAAAATTTTTTAATATTATAATTAATTAATTTAAAAAATAAAAAAATATAGATTTATAAAATAATAATTAAATTGTGCACCCCTAACAATGTTTGTGTGACCAACACGGCGGAACCACAACTTTTGCATGACATTTGCTATGCATTTTCCAGAAAATATCCTCCGAATTTTCTCCTTGACCTGCCTAGCCTATCATTTTAAGGTCTTAGTCAACAGCGTTTTAGAAATAATATTTTGGAAATCTTACATAAAAGTAGGCCTGGGCATGTTACGGTATGATTATATCGTACTTAAATGATGGTAATTGTTTTAAATAATAATAAAAAAAAGTTATTATTTTTATATTAATTGATGATTTTTAAGTAATGATTGTCAATCATTTTTAATAGTAATAAAATTTGCTTTATTAATACAATACTATATTATCATATTTAAACTTATTTTATTTATTATTAATTAATTCAAGTAATTCAAAATTCAATATTAAAAGTTTAA